GCTTGAATTTGTCTAGATTGTATGCTCTTTCAAGATGAAAAGAGATGAACAGGAGGATAGGAGAGAAGGAAGGGCTTGGAATAGAGATTAGTGGAGACTGGGCTTCGAAGAATCCCTCAGTTGATTGATAATGGCGTACCTTTCACTTCATTCGAAAAGGCAGATGGAAAGGATTTGTAACTTGGCATCACTGAACATCGGAGACGAAGTGCCTTGGATTCGTGACCGCAGGATTATGCGAATAAGACATCGGTTCACCATCCTGCGACCCCGATCTATCCGAATTGAGATATCGTAAGAGCCGAAAACCAGCATTTTATAAAATTCATCGGAAAAACCAGGAAAGATGATCGGATAAGATCTTGCTCACTTCTGAGAGAGGTCGTTTGATTGGCCTCGAACAGGTTAACTGGCTTGGTCGAGGCTACGAGGTTGTCATGGTGAGAGGCTATATGCTTGACACGCTAACCGTCCTGCAATGTCGTGGTTCGAGTCCCGCTGAGGGTGTTGATAAGACCAATGCGAGGTCGAAACTGCAGTCCACCCTGGATGATAACAACTTTTGGGAATGTAAATATTCAATGAAAACGTCAGTCCAACTCATATCATTTATGGGAAAATTCTACTTCCACCAGTCATTCATCACCTTAAACGAAATTGGGTGAATACATCTTATAACTGATTTACTGGTAGTCACGAAAAACAATACATAATTCGAAAAATAAGATTTGTTTGGCCTCAGTCTCCTTGAGGTTAATAATAGTGTTTTTTGCATTTTAAGTATTGTTTCAAGATTACCAGTAAATCAATAATATGAAATGTATTCACCCAATTTATTCTAACATTCCTTCAACACCTTAACCGAAATTGTGTGGGGTAATAATGTTGGTTCTACCTTGTTTTCGCAACTTGATCGAACCACCTCGCTTGTAAATTGATCGCTGCCATACAGCAAAATCACTTGCTGGCTGTCTGAAATCTGGCTGCCTATTACTCTTCGGTTACCATCCCCGTTTACGTCCTATTAGAGGATTTAGAGCCTGTGATGCCCATGCCTAGGACTCTTCTTCTCCCAAGGCTTCAGACCCCTCATCCAATTATCCTCTTTCTCATCACCGCCCACTTTGCATCTCATTAATTGAGACGCTGTGTTCGGCTTAATTAGGAAACCCAGATGTGAAAATCTACCGTTTCCCTTTCCAACTCCTGAATTGCGCAAGGCTCACTCCTTTTGTTTCTCAAGTTGTCAGTCGAATCTAATCCTAGGCTATCAGACAGTTGTTCATGTGTGCATTAATTGGTATACCCCCATTTTGGGTCAGGCATGTCATCACTTACCTCTCATTAAGACACAAACACTGGGGATCTATCTTTAGCACACCTATAGTTTTAGCATAGCACCTTTAATAGAGCATAATCTGCCTGTTTCTGGCCTTTAATGTTCTATTTATAATCCCACAGGTGGACCCAAACCGGTACATTTTCGGGCTGATTCCAGATTTGACTCTACTTATTGCAATAGCCTCTTCTTGACTTCCCTTTGTCCTTTTTGATCCTTTTCTTGGCGATGTCTCTTTCCATTTTTAACAGTTGTCCTGGGTCCAAGCGTCTTCTTTTTGATGTCCTCGCTGAATCTTCAAGTCTGCTTAGGCAGTACGCGAAATCATTGGTGATTCTTTCCTCCTTCAAGCTCCTGTTCATCAGGTCTTTTTAAAAGAAGATGTTTACAGCCTTCCTGGTCTTCTCTTTTTCGGTGTTCTCCTCATATAAGGCCAGTCTTTCTGTTGATCCTTGTATTGAATGTCCTTCTCGTCTCTCCACTATATATTTGTTTAAAGTCCTTGCAGTTTTATGCGGTACATTCCGGAGCACTCCATTTTGATGACTTCTTGAAGTTGTGTGGACAAGCTGGTGAGGAGGGTTGTCCTATCCTTCGGAGTTATACGAATGTTCCAATTCCATAGTATCCGCCGCTTCTTCAGAGTAAATTCGCAGGAGGGTAGACATGTCCATCCTTTTTTCTCTGTCTCCCTTGATTTCCTCTCATAATATCCACTCTTCCGTCCGTTCATAACCATCCGTATGTTGTGTTGTATTGCTTCTTCAGGATATCCGTTTCCAAGAAACATCTGAGTTAGTTTTTCCAGTTCATCTTCCCAGAATTGAGGAGCAGTTAGTCGTGGGCTTCTTGTGACCATGCTTCTGAGTATCCTCATCTCCATTCGTTATGCATGATGAGACTGGAAGTTGAGGATTATTCATGCATGCGATTTCTTTCGGAACAGTCGTTTTTTGAGGGTCTCCTCCGAGCGAATGGCTTCTACATTCAAAAGCGGTAACCGTCCTTTTTCTTCCACATCCATGGTAAACTTGACTTTTTCATCCATTTCGCTTAAGAGGATCGTAAAACTGTTTTTTTCCATGAAACCAGAGGGCGAATTTGCCGTCCGAATAGCGTTTAATCTCTGTTAGCTGATAAAGGGACGTTTTGAAATTCTCCTGCAACTGGTCCATGCCCATAGGCAGACCAAATATTTACTCATAGATGCGTCTGTTGAACGTGAAATGGGTAGTTCTTATTATTAGGTAGATTAATTGGGTCAGAGACTTTTTACGGATTCACTCCGTCTCCAGGATGTCATCTCCTCTTTCTAAGCTTTCCACTAGGGCTGAGTGCCTTTTCTCCTGAGATGTTGGTGTGCATGGACTGTGCATCAAAGCTCACTAAAAGTTCGTTTCCTTCCAAACTGATGCCTTTGGTTCTTTGGAAGAATTCATGTGAGTTCTTCACTGTGTCCGGTAATCTGTCATTCACTTTCTTTAATTTGAGGCAGATAAATTTCGCTATTGTGTTGGGCTGTGTGTGTTTTTGACTATCAGTCTCAATGTTCCCTCTTTTTTGTGCACCTTCGAAAAACCGTGTGCAATTTGAGCTATTGCATCCTTTCGTGGGAGTGAATTAATTGTATATTTGTCGATTTCTCCGTACTTATTAAATTACTTCAACATTTCCTGCAGTGCCCCTTTGATTTTAACCGTTGGTTCTTTTGCTAGATGTCGATATGTTGTATTGTCCCCGATAATATTTTCCAGTTTATCTGTATATTCCCTCTTTTACATCATCACTGTGGCACCTTCTGTATAGGTTTGTAGAACTCTTTGATTATTTATTTTCAATTATCTATATATATTGGTTATTTCGTTCCTATTCGTGGTTTTTTATGCGCCACGATTGTTAGAATGATTTGCATTTTGAGCTGCTCAGAGGAACTTATCATCTCCATTCCGAAGTGAAAAATCTAGTCCTTTCTTGAAGGTCACCTTGGCTTCGAATTCAATATGGACGGAATGCAGATTCATTATTTTTTTCCTCTCTTTTCTGGAATATTAGATTCGCCATTCTAAGGGCATCTTCATTTTTGCCGAATGGCTGGGCCCTGGGCTGCCTATAGATCCCATATTTATTCAACTTCTTCTGGTGCCTTTTTTGACTAAATCCGAAATCCTGTTGGTCGTTTTGTCTGTCACATGTAATTTTATGAAATCATCTGAGGTTAGAATCCGACTCAAATCATTTCTGAGTCCAGATTTAATATCCAAAAACTTAAATGATTTCCCCCTCTTCTTATCATATATCTCTTTTATATTTTGCGAAGAAGCTTGGTATATTATATAGTTATTTTTATTTACAGTGTGAACATGATATAACTGAACTGATTCTACGTAGAAAAGTGGGTTTTGATGACTCTCCGAAGATGATTTTGTTGTAGAGTCTTTCATTCAGTATGAAAGGGAATGATGAAGAGATTTTTAGATAGATCTCACCAGAAAACTACGAGCTATGACAAGTATTGCGTACTATGTTACTAAACTGGCATAAGAGGTGTAACACTACTTATAACGAAGCTAGTAGTAGCAGAGATAAAGACCTGTAGAGTCTGAACTCACCTGACCTCTTACCGTGATTTCACAGTAGCTCTCTGCTGTCAGGTATAAACCTCGCCTGTCGTGTGGCGGGAATTTTTATCGCCAGGCAACAGCCGAAATCGAACATGTCAATGATCTCGATGCAA